AACCAAAATTCTTATAAGAAACTTTCGGCAAATCTATAAGAATTTTAGATAACAATTATTTATTTACGTAGAAAAAAAGAGTTTGTGTATATTTTCGCTTAAAAAATTCTCCCGGTTATAAGAAAAGGTAGCAAACAAAAAAAAAGTAAAAGTATTTCTCAAGCCGTGAAAACAAAATATTTCGTTCGAGAATCTAAATATAAAATAAAACAAGATAATTAATTAGAAACTCAGGAAAATTAATATTCATTTCAGTGGCGGACGAAATTGCAAGAAATTACGATTAATAACATTGATTTCATGCGTCCGCATTCATAACACATTTAACATTTCTGTGTACATCTGTATACTTCTATATCTAAGTCATTTATAAACTTTTTTAAGATGCAAAGAACTTACTGTTCACAATCTACCTTTTTTAAGCAACACTGCGAACCTTAGCTAGTCAATCTGCTGCTTTGCGGAAGAAGAAGACTTTTTGGTTTTATTTTAACAAATTTGATCAAAACGATTTAATTTAATGCAAATTTTTTATTACAAAGATGCTTAATATAACACATACAGTATAATATCTCATTTAGAGGCCTCGTCCATTTACCCCTTATAGCAAAAAAAAAAATAAATAAAAGATATAGCATAGAAAAATATGAATTCCTTTTTGGATAATGAAGAAATCAATCAAGAAGTCCAAGAAACTATAAAGCAAAAATGGGTAATTAATAATAATAATATGAAAGAAATTACAGAACCTCATGTTTTGGTATTTTGTTTTGCAAGACTTTAACTGAAGAGGATCTCAAGCGACAATTTACTGACGCCGAATTAAAGAAGTTGTGTTTAAAACATAAATGCCGGGTGGACATGTTTAAATGGAATCCGGTGAATGAAATGCGCGAAAAGCTTTTAAAAGATGGACGATTTAAACAACGTTCAATCGCCTATTGCCTACGTTTAACAGCTAAAGGTGTTAATAAATACAAGCACAAAATAATCTACGATCCAAAAACTATACAAAAGTGGCGGGAGGAAGATTGGCGTGATCGTTTAAAGAATAGTATTTTGAGTTTAGGAATGTGGTTGGCGGACGAAAGAGAAGAACAGCAAGATGAAGAGCCATTTCAGCATTTAGACGCTCAGCTCGAACCAGCGGAATTTGTGCGTTTTGACAACGAACTACCTGCCAGCACTGAAAGAACGTTTGAGGGCAGTTTGGAAGACATCCGACCAGAAATACGTGAAGCTTTGGATATTAATACCGAGTCAATGTCGCTTAATACTCAGGATGTCTTAGACTCGCAACCCATTTCCGCGCTAACAAATTACGATGAGTTTGATGACAGAATACAATTGACTTCAACTCAGGAACAGGAATTGAATTTGGCAAATCCAATAATATTTTGAGCGGTTCTTCTTTATCGATGAGTTTAATAAAATATGGGTTATATATCAAACTTCATTCTTTAAATACGTCTTGCCAAGCTCACGATATGAAATGCTTCTTCTTTTTCGTTAGTGCATAACTTGTAATTAAAAAGTACTTAGCATTACCAGATGTACTCCAAAAGCCATGTTTGCCATGTCGCTAAAGATCTTGCAAAATTTCATTCACAGCGATTTTTAAACGGTGTGATATTGAGCAAAAGACTAATTGATATTGTTGCCGTGTTTACAACACAAATTGATATTGAAAAAATATTTTATTTTGTCAACTAAGTTAGTAGATTAGGAAAAATAAAATCTATAACTTATTTTAGATTTTGTTATCTAAAAAAAGTGATACGCCTTTTCAATGTATACGTAAAAATGTCAGAGATGAAAATTTTTTCCCAATATTCAATTAATTGTGTCTTTAAAATAACCACCAATGTTTTTCATACATTCATTTAATCACATAAAAGAATATATCATATATGTATGTATGAATTAATTTTTTTACTTAAGCGCTTTAGTAATTTAATGTTTAAAAACGAATAATCCTTTAAAAATTTGATACGCCAATTATTAGCTTATTTCATACAACAGTTGCTAAAATGTAGAACTACGCGTCGAACCTTCTTAAAATTTGAGTAAAAAAAAAAGGATTTGGTAACACTTGTAAAACTTTCTTTAAGCTATCATTCCATACAATCAGAAATTGCGCGGGAAAACGTATTAGCAAATTTCGAGAGCGTTTCTTAATTTGATCTGGGAGTTATAGAAACTAGCGAGAAATAGTATACATTAATATTCTAAAAAAAAAGGGACGGTTTTAGAAATTGTAAACACGAAAAAAAAAAAAAATGTCAAGTCCTGCAACTCCTAATAGCAATTCTAGCATTAGAGGTCAAAGAACACCTACGCGTCGTAAGCTTAACAGTAAAACCCAAAGCAAACTAAAAAATTAATTTATCATTATTACTTTATAATATGCGTAATTAGCTATTAATGGTCATGACACAGAAACTCCAATGCGTATGGGCCCGAGGCAGCAAACTAATCATAATCATGCTTCGGATAATGTAAATATACCACCAACATCACCAGGTGCCAATGTCAGTTTGCCTGCTACAAGTCCTGCTAGAGGCTTGGCGACCAACGTAAGCGAAATTGATTTGAGCTCTCCTTTGAACTATGGAACACCTAGTTCTATGAGTTCCATCAAAACTCCTCGCTCTGGTATACGGGGCACACCATTGAGGGCACGACCGGATATACGAACGGATAAACGGATGCGCCAAGTAGCTATAGGCGGGACGGTGAGAGAAAAGTTTCATTGCAGGAGTTTTAGCTTTTATTGCTTTTATTGCTTTTATCGTTTCTGTTATAGTTGGATCCCATACACGAACGCCCGTCTGAAGGCACGGATCCCTCCGAGGTTTCTTCGGCGCCCCAAATGGTAGTTTGGGGTACTAATGTGGTGGTTAGTCATTGCAAAACAAAGTTTAAACAATTTGTAATGCGTTTTATTGATCCCACCGCTGAACAAGATGAAATCTCCGAGAACATTGATGTTAATCAGCCTTTATACCTACAAAAGATGGAAGAAATTCACACTTTGGAAGAGCCCTATTTGAATTTAAACTGCACTCATTTAAAAACTTTTGATGAAGCTTTATATCGTCAACTAATTTGTTACCCTCAGGAAGTTATTCCCAGCTTTGATATGGCTGTGAATGAAATGTTCTTTGAACGTTATCCGGCCGCCGTTTTAGAGCATCAAATTCAGGTACGCCCATTTAATGCAGATAAAACGCGTAACATGCGTTCTTTGAATCCTGAGGATATAGATCAGTTGATAAGTATCTGCGGCATGGTTATTAGAACCTCTAACGTCATACCTGAAATGCGCGAAGCGTTCTTTAAATGCATTATTTGCGATTTCGTTACGACCGTTGAGGTAGATCGAGGACGCATTGCTCAGCCTACATTGTGCACGAACTGCAATACCAACCATTGTTTCCGTTTGATTCACAATCGCTCTGAATTTAGCGACAAACAACTGATCAAATTACAAGAATCACCAGATGATATGGCCGCCGGTCAGACACCGCATAACGTGCTGCTTTTTGCTCACAATGATATGGTAGACAAAGTCCAACCAGGGGATCGTGTTACTGTTACAGGAATTTATCGTGCCACGCCTTTGAGGAATACTAGTGGCGCATCAAGTGTTAAAAGCGTTTATAAGACTCACGTCGATGTTGTGCACTTTCGAAAGGTAGACAATAAGCGTTTGTATGAAGATGAAGATGGGTGAGTTTTAATGTAAAATCGAGAATTTGAGCAACACTATAATATATAAAATTTAAGCAAGGACCACATTTTTCCCCCCGAGCGCATTGAATTATTGCATGCTTTGTCGCTCAAACGTGACATCTATGATAGATTGGCTCGAGCCATCGCTCCCTCTATTTATGAAAACCATGACATTAAAAAGGGAATATTATTGCAACTCTTTGGCGGCACTAAAAAGACGCATTCTACGTTGGGTAGGCAGAATTTCCGGTCAGAAATTCATATATTGTTATGTGGCGATCCAGGAACTTCCAAATCGCAAATGTTGCAATATGTTTACAATTTGGTGCCCCGTTCACAGTACACTTCCGGGCGAGGTTCGTCTGCCGTGGGCTTAACCGCTTACGTGACCAAAGATCCCGAAACGAAGCAATTAGTCTTGCAAACGTAAGTTTACAAAATTAGACAGCAAACAAATGGAATATTATTATTCTTTATTGATTCTTCCTAAGTGGTGCACTGGTATTGGCTGATAATGGTGTTTGTTGTATTGATGAGTTTGATAAAATGAGCGACTCCACACGTAGCGTATTGCATGAAGTTATGGAGCAACAAACTTTAAGTATAGCTAAAGCTGGTATTATATGTCAATTAAATGCTCGAACTTCAATTTTGGCTGCCGCCAATCCGGCTGAATCTCAATGGAATAAAAAGAAGAATATCATAGATAATGTCCAGTTGCCACATACTCTTCTTTCACGCTTCGATTTGATTTTTCTGGTCCTTGACCCTCAGGATGAGCTTTTCGATCGCCGTTTAGCAAGCCACCTTGTGTCTTTATATTACATAACACGTCATGAAGAAGAAGATAGTTTATTTGTAAGACCACTTCAAGCTGTTCAGATATATTTCTTCATTTAAATTTTAATTTAATTTAGGATATGGGTGTGCTAAGAGATTACTTGGCATATGCGCGTGAACATATATCTCCGACCTTATCAGAAGAGGCGCAGCAGCGGTTAATACAAGCTTATGTGGACATGCGTAAAGTGGGTTCGGGCAGAGGCCAGATATCCGCATATCCTCGTCAGCTAGAGAGTTTAATACGTCTCTCTGAAGCCCATGCTAAAGTTCGTTTAAGTCAACAAGTAACTGTTGTAGACGTGGAAGAAGCTTTTAGGTTCACTTTACACATAAATATGAATGAAGAATTTCTTGTTAACCTATGTATGATTGATGCAGATTACATCGCGAAGCTTTAAAACAATCCGCTACTGATCCTTTGTCTGGTAAGATTGATGTGGGCATTTTAACAACTGGCCTGTCGACTGCAGCCCGTAAAAACCGCGCCGATTTGGTAGCGGCCATCAAAGAGAATCTTCGAAACAAAGGCAAGATTCCTACTGTGCCATATCAAAAGTTATTTAAGGAAATTAAAGATGCCTCTCAAATTGTAAGTTTGCGTTTATTATAAACCGCTTTTTTTAATATAAGGTTTTTTACCGGCCTTTTTTTTATCGTTTAGCTGGTTACCCGTGAACAATTTGAAGATGCACTCAAAGAAATACAAGACGAAGGTACCATTGTTGTAATGGGGAAAAACACAATACGAATTTGCTAATTATTTTTACTTTTTCCTTAAAAATTGAAATAAAAATGCATTTTTATGGTTAGTTTATTGTTTTATTCTTAATGGTACTGTAAACACGCATTACAACCCTGCGTCCACTGTAGAACATCTGTTGATTTACGACCAGGTGTTCGATCTTATAAATCGAGTTAGCGCCGTTTTTGTGTGGATAATAAAGCGGCTTTGCTAAATTATAAGAAAGGTGTTCGCACATTAAACTAATTTGGGAATGTTGCTCAAATATATAAAACGCGTAAAATAATGTCGCCAGATCCTATCCCGAGCAAACCGTACGAATCCAATGTTATGGAAGTTTTTTCTACACAAATGCAGACACCCTCAATCAATGTAAGTGAACAACAATTAATAAAAAAAGACGAAACGGCGAAATCAATCGAGGCGGCTTCTAGTAAATCAGTTAAGCAGAATGCTAGCCATTTAAATGAACTTATACCGCCATCGACACCTATTCCACCTATTCGCGACAATAAACGTAATCATTCCCCAAATATAGCTTCGGGTGATATTCTGGATGCTATGTCGCCTTCGTCATGCTCATCAACTTCTCAGGCCACGAGTGGGGTAAACGATGTTACGTTTGAGCCTACAATAGAAATGATGGTTAATGATTTTGACGACGAACAGACGCTAAATGAAGAAGAGGCGCTGGCTGCTTTGGAATCACAAGATCCGCATGAAGAAATAAACACTTTGAGGGCAGAAGGTGAAATGCCTTTAGAGGAATTGATGGCCAAGTATCAAGCATTGCCAGCAATGCCATTTATTGAGCCAATAAGAAAAAAATCAAAAAAGTCCAAAAAAGCCAAAAAATATAAACAAAAAGACGATAATGAAGAACTTACACCGTTAGCAGTAGATCAACAACAGCAACAAAAGGCAAGTAACCAGGAAAATAGAGAAGATGTCATTGTAATTGAGAGCAGCGATGAAAAAGAAGCCCCTGATGACATGTATGACCGCATCGATGAAGAAGATGAAGTAATCAATTCCAATCAATCGGTTTCTAAGCTTTCAACACCCGAAGAAACAAAAGATAATGAAGAGCTCGCAGGGCCTTTGTATTGTAATAAAATCAAAGTAAGACGTTCTCACTTATTGGACTTGTATCCTGAAGGAACATTCGATAATGTGGTCGTCAATAGTAATATAACGGATGATGACAAAGGTATAAGAGATGTGATTACTTCGCGTACTTCTTTTTAGTGAAAATTTTCTTTAGACATTCCCTTAGAAATGCTATACGGAGTAGGTGATGACGAAGATGAAGATATAGAAGAAGATGATGATTATAAAAAGAAAGTGATGGTGGGTTCCTCATATCAAGCTACAATACCAGTGGGTCTATCACAATATGGTGATATTCTACCGTATGAAAATGAAGATAAATTAATTTGGGAACCAAGTCAAGTGGGTGAGCGTGAAGTGGAAGAGTACTTATTAAAGATTCGAGATATTAAACCAAATTTGTCCGACGAAATCGAGGCAGGAATTAATGAAGAAAATTCGCAGGTTAAAGAGAATGCTTTCAACGAAAATGGACTGGAAAGCTCCGAAAGCAAATCCACAACAATAGGAACTGAATTGGTAGCTTCTTCCGCTTCAGATTATGAAATATGCGGTGTGATCAAGGATAATGAACAGGTGGACGGATGATGATACATTTGAAAAACAAAATTTGACGGTAATATATATATTTCTTAGGCTCTCCATTTATTAGTTCAGTGTGGCTACGATTTCAAAGAAGCTTTGAGGCGTAAACGCTTAAATGCTTTACCTCTTAACGATTGTATGAGCTTGTGGTCTGAGGAGGAATGCCAAAAATTCGAAGAAGGCATACAAAAATACGGCAAAGATTTTCTTAAAATAAGACAAAACCAGGTAAGTTCTCCGTAAGGCAAGATCAAATATTCGTAGAACGTTTTGTCATATTTAAACACAGGTGAGAACGAGAACTTTGAGGGAACTAGTACAGTTTTATTATTTGTGGAAGAAAAGTGAACGACGAGATCATAATTTTGCTAATGCCGATACCGTAGATCACATGGATATCTATCTAAACGAGGATAATGAATATGGATCTAATCCTGCCTCATCTTTAACACCAGCTGGTTCGCCGGTGACTACCTCCATTTGTGCTGGTACCCGTAGAAATAGCAGTTCGTCGCAAAAGAATTTTTCAATTATGACGGGTGTAGCAAATTCGAACGTTATTGGTTCAGTGAACGCGAATAGCGCAATCGAGCATATAAAAGGAGGAGCGCCATCAGGCTGTCCCAACGCAGACAAAAGGAGGTTCAGTAATAGTACTTTAACAGGCCCTGAACATTCACTCGAATCATCATCTTTAAACGTTAATACTAGTTCAAACAAATGATGACACCAGCAAACAGTAGTAGAACAACAGGACAGTGCTAAACAACGTCAAAAACAACAAGTCAAACGATCAAAGAGAAATGATAGACGGGCACGTCACATATTGCCTGTTGCCAGTAGAAGATCAACGAAAAGGCGTCTTAAACGTTTAGTACAACGTCACCGTTTAGCGACGCAATTCAAATCCGGTTTGCGTAAATGTATTAGTATTAGTGTTGCAGCGACAATCTGATCTGAATTGTTCCATTTAAAAACAGAAAAAGAAGATTAGATGAACCTAAAGAATTTCCACTGTGCTCCTTATTTTTATACGAATCAAATCTAAGAATTTCACATTGTTACGATAGTAAGAAAAACAAAACAAGTAAAGTAAGAGGCTCTGTTTCTCTCAGTGAGTTAAAATGTTATACTGTATTTTTGCGTATGTTCCAATGGATGTTTTGTTTAATATTTGAAATATATAAATTAAGAATAACATTGTCAACCATACAATATTGTCAACGAATCAATCAAACCATAATCAAAACTATCAATAACTGTAATAACTCATGCAACTTTATGTCAACGTTTTTCATGTTAGTACCGTTATATATTCCATGCAAGCAATTCATTGATAATGTAGTGTATGTATGTGTATGTATGTGTAGTTGTAAAAGTGAAAAAAAAAGGAAAAAATAACAATAATAATAAATGTTACCTCTATTTATAAAAATTATTGCATATGCATTTGAAGAATCAACTGCACACAACGTTACTTACATTAAATAGATTTCAAAATTTTAAGAGAAAAATACGTTAACAACCCACATACCCACACCAATAAGAAAACTACCATTTTCAGCCGTAAAGAGGGGCAAGAATGAGTAAACCACTGCAGTTGCGAAAAAAAAGAAAAAAAAAAAGAAAAACAAAACAAGTAATGTAAGACTCGTAACGGAAGAAGCTTATCCGGAAAAAAGTCAACATTTACAAAACAGTTGTTGCTTTGTGTCGCCACACGCTTAACTCTACCTACGTAATTCTCTTTTACTCTCATTGCGGTAAATAACGAAGAATTAAATAATCTAATGAGTGGTGGCTGAGCGAGGGCTCAGTTAGTTTCTGGTTTGTTGTTGAGTTGATCTTGGTTTCAGTATTGTACTGGAATACGTCAAATGCATTGTGAGTTCACGCAAGGCGTCTTAATATTACGGTCAGTCAGTCAGTCAGTGAAATGCAACAAAACAATCATATCAGTAATAACAGTAATAGAACTGCGTTGCTTACATCGCTGCCTAATACAATACATGCAACAACAACAACAACTACATCATTTACGAACACTGCCAAGTTACCTATAGAAACGGTTAAATTATTGATAGCTTCAGTATCGAGGCGTCCAAATTTATGGATCCGGAATAGTAATGGGCAAAAACGCTGCGATATAAACGCTTTATGGAAACAAGTTAGCCAAGAAATTCACTTACCAGGTGAGTTATTCAGAGAGCAAACAATTAGAATTGGAAAACAAATCTTTATCGTGAGGAAGAGCGAGAAATAGAAAGAGAATGGGAGATAGGTAAACTCATTATTTCGGAAAACAAACGGCAACTCTGCTTGAAGCAATGGTTTCGGTATTCGCTAAAATCAGGGCAAGTGATCGTTATTTCTGACTTGAATTTCATTTTATTTTGTTTTAATTTTTCGACAGATCTGATCATTATTAATATGTTCGCTTTTTTTTTTTTTTTAAATAGATTTTATTCTATTTCCCGCTACGAAAATCATCATAGCAGTTTTCCTAGAAGCACGACTACTTGAATCTTGACAATTTGCTAAGAACTACTCTGATTGTACAGTAAAGCGAAAAAATCATTGTTAAGCGATACATTATACATTCGGCACATTTTATACCCTACACCAATTGGGGTTTATGCGGGTGTATGCAATACCCAGGAGGACTTGGGAATCATTCTCTGAATCCATTCAAGGTCGTCTGTCCGTTCGTTCGTTAATCTACCCGCCACTGTTTTGAGAAATTTTGCTGGCCTGTTTCCGGCCAAGGGCGAGTGCCAGTGAAAATGCTTTGGGTCGAATCACTTTTTCGACTAGTTTCTATATAAAGTCTTATTTAGAAAAGTCGTTATGTAGGCAGGATGTTGTTACTTGTTATATATGCGAATACGCGCAATTCTTTTTACACGTTACATATATTGCTTAGAAAACCCTGTAAAATAGTACATGCGAAAATATGGTAAATTTGAAAGAACCTTAAACTCAACTTAAACTCAATAAATAGTGAAAAAAGAGTATAGTGAAAATTCAATCCATAAGTACAGCAAATAAAAATTAAAATTAAAATTAGGAGTAAAAATCAATATCGCAACAGCTCGTCGTTAAATGATAATAAGCGTGCATGTTGATTACAGACTGAACCACCAACAAATGAGCATCAACTCTTGGAATTTTATTGAAATTATTTACTGTATTCTACGAACTGAACACTCTAACACAAAAAAAAATACTAAATAGGAAATTTTCAATTTAAAGTGTAATGAATAAAGCGCATTCCCCGTAGCAGACCAAGTCACTAGGAAAATCAAAATTAAAAATAAAAATTTTTTTTTTTTTTTGGAATTCGTGCTAGAATAAGATATTCCTGCAAAAAGAGTGTTTGATTTAATTGGTTAGTCGTCTCATTTCAGAATTGGGTAAAAAAGGACCATGTAAAATAGGAGCCGCGTGTACATATATATTAGATATAAAATACACACAATTTGTGTTAATCTCTTTCTGGGTTCAAGATAAACCGGTAGTCGTTATTAAAAACTGCTATTCAGCCCGATTGTAAATTGTCGCTTGTTCTCACATGTACGCCCACAGTGCTAAGCGAAAGTGGATTTATTGCGGACGGTAAGAAGATATGTGTAAGGGATGAATATGAAAATTGTAAACTTTTCATAAACTTTTGAACCAACAAATTCAATATTTATCAGAAATTTTCTTCTTGAAAATTCCGGTATTTCCACGAGTGCTCTGAAAAGATCGGCTGTGCCAAGAAAGAATCCCTGCTGCGTCGCTAAAGCCTGAACTGTTACCTGTTCGATTCGATCTACTCTAACAATCTAATAGTTTTCTGAGGCCGAGAGCGAAACGAGAGATGCCATTGCTTTTGCAAAAAACTTTAGGGCGAAGTTTGTGATGTTAATCAAGAGTCCGGTTATAGACTTGTGCATTTTCTCTGTCGTTTTTTCTGTCATTTCGTAATACGTAAAGTGTAAAACATACGACTGGCACCTTCTAGCAAACACCGCTAGAAAGCAAAGAGAATGAGGAAAAATATTTGAACTTGGAAGCGAACTTTTTTGGTCCCGGTAGTGAAAACTATAATATGAAGTTTATTACAGTAAAAAAACAAGATTCATACAGGTCCACTTCCCACTCGCTCCAATTACAACCCTTCCTGCCCAGCATCACCATAGCCGGCACCGGCTTGTCTCGAAACAGGACTTTTCAGTTTCACTAACATTAATCCGATTTTTTTGCAATATCTTTAAAGTAACATTTTGCAATCAACTACGACGAGGGTTTCGAAAAGTTAACTAAAATCTTGAAGACCAATTCGAAGCATAGGCCAGGACAACGGTCAGCAATTTGATTCATTGAATTTTCCAAACTGGTCTCCAACGCTACGGAGAGGCGATCTACACTTGGAAAATATAGGTACATGGAAACTCCTATCACATTCTGTGCGGAAGCGTATCCATCTGCAGCATCAGATATTTGATGTCTGACGAACATTTCATAATGCCGGACCCAAGCACGGAACTTCGAACTGAAGGAAGTGGCGGGATTCGTAAAAGTAATTAAGCTGAGGAGTAAGGAGTTTGACCGGGTACAGTAGATCTTTTAGGTCACGGTGGGGCTTACGCTACATAATAACAATCATAATCTTAAGGACTATCTTTTTCTTGGGCGAAAATAAAACTTTTTCCTTCGAATACTCGTCACTCACATGAAAAGCGCATATTTGAGAAATCCTTTACGTAATTTCCTACCTACAAGTGCGTGGAGTAAGTGTTTTTTCCTTTTTTTAGATTCAACTTTGCACTGGTTAGGATACTGCAGAGTTGCTTAAATTAAACATGCGCCACCAAAACAAGTTCAGTGATGCAGTTTTGTATGAATATTAAAAATAATTTTTTTTAATACTTAAAAGTTTTCTTAAAACCTTCTCCTACCTCGAACGTTGCTTTTTTTGGCTACCGTACCTTTTCTTTCATTCCAAAAAAAAAAAAATTGTCAAAAATAGTAGTAGAGGAGCTAGTACCTACTTACCCCTTAGACGAATGATGGGCCATTGATGCGAACCGAAAATGATGCTTTATAATATCTTTGCTTTCAGCCGATATCTGCCGTATTAAATGGGGTCACCTACGTGATAACTTTCGTAAAGTTTTCATACGTAACACATTGTCCGGTGAACCGCCGACCACGTGGCGTTTTTATAATGATATGCGTTTCATGGAAGCTGCTGTGGCTGAAAATGTTATGCGTCAGCATAGGCTGAGAGAGCAATCGTTGTACTGGCAAGAATTGCATCATGCTGAACAAAAACAAAAATCGACGGCCAATAATTTTTTCGAATTACATGACAACTACGAACGCAATATTCAAAATCAATTTGGTTTCCCCGATTTAGCCGCCTACTATGAATCTTCTCGTGAACCTATTAACAAACGCATTAAAATGGAACCGAATGAAGCGAACAGTTCGCTAATGGTTACAAATGGCTTTACAAAAAGCAGTGTTTACAACGTCCCCGATCGCAATGATCAGGACGACGATGAAGATGACGACGATTACGATGAAGATGCAGCCTCTACCGAAGATAATTATCAGCTAATGGAAAAGCAACATGATCTGGAGAAGATAAAAGTTGAAAACTCAAAAGATGAAAAGATTCCAACTGCAATCAACGCCACAAAACGTGATATAAGTTCAAATGCGGAGAGCGGTACGCAGGGTGACATTCTAGAACACGACTCGGATCGTATGTTTCTGTTAAGTTTGCTACCGTATTTGCGTAAAGTTGGCGATCAGAGAAAGCTGAAAGTAAGACAAAAATTGCAAAATGTTTTAATTGAAGAGTTCGGTTAGCAGTCGAATTGGAAGATTGCAAGTCGACGCGCTTAGAGTATCTATGGAAAAACATTTAAACGAGAATTGCTTTTCTAGTATTTTTCCAATTATTTTCATTGTTTTTTATTTTTGTTTTAATTTATTTTTACGATTGTATATAAAAGTCTTACAAATTAGAAAAATTCAAAAGTATTATTGAAAATTTGCAAAAATTTGTATTATGTTTTCTATAACTTGAATGCAAATAAAAATTCAAGAAAAAAAAACCATCTCCAGCTGGCAGCTGGATTTTCATTTTCCTTTTTGTTTTTTGCGACTATTGTTAGCAAAACATATTTTAGAATTTTCTTCCATTGTTTTCGCTCGACGGTCTTGAAAGGTTTTCTGAGACGAGTGTTTGTGTATTTGTAAAATCGAGATAAACCCGATATGCATTTGTGCGCACTGATCCTTCTCAGGTAAATCATTCAATGCTCAAACAACAAATAATTAAGACGAACAGGTAAGGCGTTGCATTGTAAAAATTTTCCACTGCTTTGTAAAACTAAATTGTTATACCTTCGAATTTATGTGAGCGTTGACAGGATATGTTGCTGCAAAAGTTAAGCATTCAAATATAGGCAATTTTTATACCCTATACGAGGTATAAGTTTGTGTAGGCATATTCTGTACCCAGAAGGACTTGGAATAGACCCACTTTTTACTACACCGATCAATTACGAAGCGTTTACTGATCTTAGCTTGTCTGTGCGTCATATTCTCTCTGTTGGTCAATCTACGGGCCGCAACTGTAGAGGTATCCTGATGAAATTTTATACACTCTCGCCTTTGCCCAAAAACGAACGATGCTGAAAATTATTCGGATTGCACAACTTTTCCAACCACTTCTCACGCGCACAAAAAAGAAGAGGACTGAACGAACGAGCCTACTATTTATGTACAATAATGGAAGTAATTGACCACCTCTACCTGATACTGTACTGTATCAAAATTTAAGTTTTTTCCATCCGCCTGAGTGGCCGAGTAGGCAAGAGTCTCGACTAGCAACTCAATAGTCGTGGGTTCAAACCTCAAGTGCGGTAGAGTTTTTTAATAAAAGCCGATAGCCCTAGATGCTAGTGCTTTAAGACTTTAGTCTTAGAATTTATTCTCTGGCTAAATTTATAATAATAATAATAATAATAATAAGTTTTTTCCAATACCCTTACAACGCATGGAGAGAAGATTGAAAAACTCCATCAAGTATATAAATCCTTGGCCGGCTTAAGCATCTCCTTCTGTTAGCCCGAATACCTGTAGCTTAGCCCGACTGTGTAGCATCTACGGTTAATATTCACCGGTTCGCAAAAATGAAGATACCGCCTACAAACTTGCAAAAGAATCTGAAAATGGCCCAAATTGCTCACCGAACACAGAGCACCGCCACACACGTCTATACAACTGGAAATACGTTTGCATTCCATGTCTTTTGCTGCTTGCAGCAAACTATTCGACAAAAATGGAAAAATCAACCATGCCCTACCACTATTATGAAACGCGCATATTTAAATTATTATTTTTTCTCAATCCTCTATAGCATAATGGCGATGTGTATAAAGTGGTCGCAACTGAATATAATTTTCTTACTTGTTAAATTGTACTGGGCGGATATGAATCTGTAGAACACTTTGAACTCCCAGGAACTCTGGGATAGAGATTTGAATTTGAAGGTACGATTTATGTCATAGAAAATGCGACTAGCTTGGCACGCGCAAAACATTCAAATTTCATAATTGGTATATGAAAGGGAACTCGGAAAAAAATTGTTAATAATTTCCTGAAATTTGTTTTTATACACATACTCGTAGGAATTAACAAATACAATCTACTTTCCGGATTTCGTGGTAAGAAAAACGAAACATAGAAATAAACTCTTATGTTCAACTACAAGCTTAGGTCTTAATAAATTTTTCGCAATATAAATGTCGTTTGCCGTTCGAATGAGAACAGCAAATGAAATAAACATAACTAGAAGCAATTGCTCAATATAAAGATATACACAAAACACAAAACCTCCACCAGGTATAACGTGGAAAAGAAATTCCTTACTATTCTATCAACAACCGCGTATGTATATAAAACCACTACTACGAAAGACGAGTCATCGAATGTGAATGAAGAATGTGTAAATAAATACGGGAAGGATATTTCTCTCTATGTTTTCAAATAAAAAGCTGAAAAGGATAGCAAGTATTCTGCGTAGTATTATGAAGTATACGCTCCAATCAAGGGTAGATGTAAAAATTTTACAAAATTCAGTTGCAAAGCAAAGCTGTAATACAGTAGATGTCCTTAAAGAGCATACAACACACATATATATATATATATAGACCGGAGTATTAAAAAAGCAAAAAGCAAAAGAGGTTAATTATATTTTCACATTTGCATGTACAATAGTCTTCGCATATGAACTTTTGTGCATTAAAACATTTAATAAATACTAAAGACAGCAGTAATATAATGAAAAATATGTTAAAAAAGTGAAAAAAAGCAACAAAAAATCTTAACTAAATAATAAATGAATTGTAGAAAAAGAGAAAATAAAATAATGTTGTAATCGCACATACAACAACACAAAAGTCTACACCAACGTGTCAACAGTGTATTAATAAGATAGCAGCAGTGGTAGTCGAAAAATTTAAGAGAAACACTATTTATTAATACCGTCAAGAGTAAATTTTACACTGAAAAGCATTTCCTTATATGACCGAAAATTTTCTGACCGTTTTACGGCATTTTACAACCCTGTGTATCAACTTAGTAATGATAATATTTTGATAATAATGAAATTTACGGGAAACTAGAGATTTTACTAACAAGTGTTTTATATATTTATAGTTGTATTTTTATGGATTATTTATATTCATTTAATCAATGAAAATTTTCTTATTATTATCATTAGTTGATATTCACTTAGAAATTTAAATACGCGGACGCCACTAATACTAAAAGGTAACTAAAAGTCAGGCGAAAGTATATTCGCATATAGGCAAAGTTTTATATATACAAGGAGCTGGTCTATGGATTTTTTGAGCCATAACACAAAACTTGTATGTGGCTAAGAAAATGGGAAGTACTTTTGTGAAGATCTAAAACTGGATTTCGAACTCTGCTGGTGTTTGAAAACAATATTTGCTCCTCTTTAAGATTAAAAAATCTTTCGAGTGAAAATTTACGATGCAAGGGCTCCATATTGATAATGTTTGAGAACAATACTTACTCCTTCTATTTGGCCTTAGGCTCAATTTTATTTCGAATATTAATTTCAAGGATTTGCCTGTGAAATATATCAAACTTTATGATATTTAAGCTTATGGGCGAAGTGATTTATTTGTTTTGAACACAAGGACCGTTTATTTTCAAATCAGTCCATTTCAGTACACAAAAAGCTCACAAGCGCCATACGTAATTCCTTCAATTCGTTGTAACTCTCAGCCTTTCGTCGTCTTTGAAAAACTACCGCCATATAATGCCAATAAATCACTTTATATTGTTACATTTTGGTGGTTGGGAATTTGATCATGCGCGCCGCGTGGCTTTTCCAGCGCCCACAGTCAAAAATTTAGATCTTAACGTAGCTTAGAAATTGAAAATGGCTTTCATTAGAAAATAAAACGAAATAAATAAACAAAGCCTTTGAATTGTATTAACGCTGTTGTAAAATCCCTGCATATAAATTGTAAGATTGGTTAATTTTATTAAACACTCCCAATTATAAGAAAAATAATTGTTTAAATAAGCATACTTTTCCAGAATAGATAAATTATAATAGATTGATTGTCCCAATGCTCCATCTAGGAAAAAGACATGGCCCATTAGAAAAAGAAGAAAACCAAATTGACATCAAAACTGTGAAAGTTTCCGAAACATGGAAATTAAAAATCTATTCCAGTTTCCGAAAAATGGAAACACGATGGGAGAAAATCAAAAATTGTGGTGAATACAAATAAACAAAACATGGATTTTTTCATCAACTTTTAAAGGTATAGAAAATTAGATAATTTGGTCCGTTAGATAATGTTGTTTTGCCGACGGCTTTTGCTAATTTTTCTTAGATAATTTGGTCCGTTAGATAACACTTGAAAGAAATATTAGTATTATTATTGAGCAAAGAAATAACTTCTAGGACTAAAAAAAGTTGGATAAGCATTAGCAACCAATGAACAAAAGCATTGGATGAATTATTATTTAAATTAGAAAAGTAGTTTTCACCTTTCAAACATATTAAAAAGATTTCTAATTTATTAAAATCATATTTTGATTTGAGAAAACTCCGTATGTACTTTTTCAATTCATAGAGGAAGAGTTCGTCTTTAACGATTGCTAGAACGAGTGAAGAAGCAGCTCGCAAGTTCAAACCTGCCAATGAAATTGATAATATATTTGGGGATGAGGTTATAATGAAATAATGAAATTACGTCAAAAATAATGACGAAAGCATACGAACCAAACTAAAACACCATGTACGCAGCATTGTAATCGCGTCAATAGTGTTTGCAACACAAATGCAAACGAAAGATTGAAAAGAGCATTCATTTTTTATTAAGAGAGCGTGGAGCGTAGAGGCGGATATTTGTAAAGATAATGAAATCAAATTCACTCAAGTCTCACCATATATCCTAACAGACGATTAGTGAGAATACGCACTCTCGTCTATTCATTTGTACGCGCTGTGTTGTTTAGGCTTTTGGTAGTATATATATATATATATATATGTATATATGTATATATTTATATATATATATGTATATATATATGCATGGATATACATCCCCCTGTGTGTGTGCGTGTGTGTGTGTGTATTTGGCTGTTTCTTTTGCTTCTTTTAATGTGATATTTGTTCAAAATTTGTACGCTTTGAGCACAACTCGGTGTCTTCGTTTCGTTAAATTTATTACTGCTGCTGCTAATACCACATACCACGGCTGTATTGCTTCTTTTCATACTCATCATAATCAGTCTGGAATCTTCGTGACAGTAGAAGAATCAAAAAAGAAAAAAACAAGCAGAAAAGAGCAAAAACTAAGAAAGGCACACATTCACTCACACGACGCATTGCTAGCAAAACGAACGATAAAGAATCCAAACTCAAAGAAAAAAAAGATAAATTGTATAAATACACATTGAAAAATCAAATTAAAGCAAAGAAATTATTTTAACAATAACAACAAAAATTTACTAAAATTTAATACAAATTCTGAAGTGATTAAAGTGTTAACACAACTTATTAAATGGAATAAAGTCTCAAAGACTTGGCTGTTTAAAATTTAATTACTAGATAAATTAATCAAAAACCGTATAAAGAAAAAAATAACACAAAACAACAAAGCAAATTAAGACATTTAAGTGTAAGAAAAAGAAAAAGAGTTTTCACTAAAAACCGAAAAAAAAAATTTTAAAAAACAAAAAAAACAAAATATTAAATAGATCAAGGTTATAAAACATTAATACTTTTGCTTGTATGCCTGGTGTAAGTACAAAATCAGACATTAATACATATGCATATGCATATCCACGTTTGTAAGAGCATGCTTAACTATAGAAATCGAAAGAAGAAGAAACCTCGTTTATTTAAAATTTTTTTTCCTTTTTCTATTTTGTTATACGCATAAAAGATAGATAGAGAGAGAGACCGAGCCAGCGAGAGAAAGATAAAGAGAGTTGAAAAAGAGAAAATAGATTTCATTTATATTTATGCCAAAAATTTTTATTGTTTTTCGAAAGGGATTTTACGTTATCATAAAAAAACATATTTATTGATTTGCTTAAAGAAACCATATCAACATAAGACTATAAATTGATTTGATTGATTCGCGTCTATTAAAGAGACGTTGATATTATAAGTATACCTTAACACATTTCCTTAAATTGTTATAAGGGTACGTGAAATATGTATGTATGTATATATGCATAGAGCAATACATGAATTTTTAAATTGAGAGAATGTGAATTTTTAAAAAAAAAAGAAGAAGAAAAATGTGAACCACAAAAAAGAAACGTTACTTCGAACGAAAACTCCAAACATCCCCTAAACAATGTTTTTCATATTGCACACTAAGCAGATTCAATAGTATTGTGTTTTAAAACAGCATATGACAACTACGAGCAGAAGGACAACGACGACGACAACGACAACAACAATAACAATAACAATTTAGTCAGTCATCTTATTAGGCAACTATAAAAGAGAAAAACAAAATGTTTATCCTCTTATTTCTTTTTGTTTCTGGATTTCGTAAATTTATATATCTTCCTTTTTCTGCGGCCTCCTCATGAAATCTTAACGAACCACGAACATTCGCAAACGCTTACAAAAATTTAGCTTTATATACTTACATACTTGTTTTCGATTTTTGTAGACATTCTACAACCAACAAACACTTATTTTATGTGTGTTTCAAGATATATGTGTGTATTAAAGCTTATATACCTACATAAATTTTATATATTTTTAACGTATTGTGCGTGCTACTTAAGTCAAAAACAACAACAATGAAGAAATAAACTAACAAACAATACACACACATATATATGCATACATGTAAGTGTGTTAAGAAAGCAAAGAGGGTGAGTCAATGTGCAGAAACGAAGAAACCAGAAATCAACACAATTTAGGGAGGTTTTCTCTCTGCCCTTGTCTTTTCTTATTTCATGTGTATATACGTACAACTGTATATATCTTGTAGCTTCTCTTCGGTGTGCACATTCAAGAAAGTAGTTAATGCTTTAGATACACTGACTTTAAAAAGTTGGGATACATGTCTTCAAGAAATTGCAAAGCAAACCTTTACCACCGAAATCATTTGATTGAGCCTTAGGTTCAATCTTAAATTCTATTTTTTTTATTCTTCAAGGCTTAAATATTAGTTTGAAGTGTTTGTACAGCTTTAAGGATTCGTTTAAATCATTTTCTGCGGTAATCTTGTCTATCTTAACTATTAGGAATTTTGAAAGGCATTCTGTTCCACTACTTATCGAGGAAAAAGAGCCATACAAGCAAATCCGTTGAAATGGCTTTTCGGTATTTTAAAACTGCTGGCTTTAATGCTAGTCTTGTAGTCGTCTTTTAAATAATAATTGATGTTAAAGTCTTCAAGCCATTTCTTTCTTGGAAAGAAATTATCTTTATTACAAGTTCCTCGGCGGTGACAATGAACCCTTTAGTGTATAGTTGGGCAGGATGATAGTTACATATTTTAAAAGTTTCTCTGTTGCCTTTTAACCTCTTAAGTGACTTGAGCTAAGTTATAAGTGAAAGTAATTCGTCGACTTCAAATTTTTCATGCTTTTAAGCAATTTTACACACACAAAAAGCAAGTAAAAGCGCTATAGTCCCACCATTAAACGTCCTACATCATTCCGCTTAATGCGACTATACATATAACGACTTTGGAAATTAGGTGCATTGTGAGAATCCAGTTGTATTTCTCTAATAAATAAGAATAGAACCCATTATGCTTAAACCATTGATTTCGTTCTTGGGCCAAAACATGTCAAATTTCATCAAAGTATCTCAAAAATTGCGTCATATAGGTTGAACTGGCAGACAGACGGACAAGCTTAAAATTGTAATAATTAAAGTATAATATATTAAAAGATGGCTCTATTTTAAGTTCTTCTAGACATCCGCACAAACTTAATATACCCTTATGCAGAAGTGGGGCAAGGCATAGTAATTGGTTCCGTATTCTTGATGTATAAAATATCGTTTTTTTAAAGCATGTTGTTTCCACTGCTTAGAACTGTTTACTCACGCTTTTTAGGCTAAAAGAACACTAAGCATGCCAAGGCTTCAAAGGAATAAACTCACCCTCGGTAGGTGCTCGAACTTGATCTCCAAAAAAAGCTTGCAACTACCCCTCAATCGGCGTTATGCAAAGTTTCTGGTCACTTCACATGTAACCTTCTGCTTAGATACGTCCCACCAACTTATTTATTTTTGGGAACTTTTTTTTTTTATTTTCCTGGAAATTGATCCTTTCAGCAAATGTACGTTTCACCATTTTGAAGGAATTGCCGAATATTGAACACTATGTCGAATATGCCAAGGTGGGCAAAAATTTCTTGTTAATTTCATATCCTTCATATGCAAACTTTCTGACGGCAGAGTAAATTCGTAAGTGTAAATGGCGGGAAAATAAATTAAAAAACATAAATACTAGTTTACGTTCCTTTTATATCAAAGTGATCAGGTATTTTTGACACGAATACAAAATGCATAGCAGGATCTTTATTTTCATTTTGTTTTTCAAGCTACGAACAACATCGCACATCAGTTCTTTTTCTTTTAGTCCGCCAATATACTTCATCTCTCTAAAAAAATTATCATAACAATAATAATAAAATACATATTCAAGCAGAAGCTACTCGTACATTACATATATATATATATATATGTGTATCCTTTAATATTGATTGTATTTACCGCAGGCACTTTCAAGCTTTCGTAATCCCAAAAGAATACTTCCCGGAAGCTATGTTAAAAGTGACCTTAATCAGTGTTTATCTATATATATTGTTGAAATTGAAGTTATCGTTCCCTAGGAAGGCTAACCCCTTTTAGAATTCAAAAATTAAAGTTTTAATTAAATCAGTGGACCATGACTATCAGAACACATATTTATTTCTTCAAATAACGCATCGAACACCATATACATGCTCTTATTCTAACTTGCAATCCAGCATTTCAGGAAACTATATACATTTTTCCTTATAAACGTTATTTAATTGTTTTAAATATATAATAGATATATATTTATGAAATTTAACTGCAATACCCACAACCGAATTAAACAAATGGACGACCCCTAAGATTGCGCTTTAATTGCGTCGTCGTTAAATAAATAGAGAATAGAAGTTTTAAAACAAAAATATATAATAGGTGTACAAATATATTCTGTCCCTTTTTGAGAAAATTAAAATTTATTCAATACGTACTTGTCGCAAAGCTTAATATATGTCATATACTCCATCACTATCTGTGGTCTTTTGCCCTTCCTTATTGGGTAGCCTATGGATGCCTCCGCGGGAGAAGCATGATGCCGGTTTGGAAGCCACACAGCCATCGACTCATTTTCGCAAACCTTCAACCTCTGTGAACCGTTGATCTGCTGAAATGTATGCATCGATCTGAATAAGTGTTGATCGGAAAGGGCCAAGCGTAGGCAACTTCCCGTCCTGAGCTTGAAATTGTTTCCTTGGTTGCTTTTACAGGAGCCGGATGGACCTGTGCCAGTTTCATCATATTCAAGTCAAAAACTTTTCGCCCGAAATCTCGCAAAACTGTTTCTAAAAAATTTCACAGCTTACTGCGTTTTCACCTGAAACTAACTTGATAATTTCAGTAGTTTGAGCTGCATTTGTTCATTTTAATCAGTTAAGTATGTCGACCGCGTCATACAAATGACAAAATGCTAAAAATATTTTCTAAAATGCATTATTATGACACATACGCATTCATAATGATAAAATATTAAAAGCAAATCCGACAAGGAGCGATGGACGGATCGTGACGTATATGCTCCTCATACACAGTTAACTGCTCAGTCTAGTTAAACGGGGAAAATTAATGCAGGTTCATAAAGGACATTCATCGCATTTTACTTTGATATACACTGAACGACAGCTTGTCAACAATTGAAACTTACAAATCCGGGTTATCTATAGATAAAATATCGGGAAACTTGGGCGCGTCAGATACGCTTTATGCAGCAACCAATTGTAGTGGAACGGATTTTTTTGTACACCTAACATAAATAAACAAATAGAAAATACACGAAATAATTATCATAATTTATTGCGGACTTTTCTGGTTTAAAGCGAATTTAAGGTTAAACGTTAAAAAATCCAAAACATACTAAATCTACTAATTCTACTTATTTTTGTTGTTATAAGATCTATTAAATAATATGAGTCTAGCGAAGTAATAATTTGAAGGTAACTATATATATATATATCTTCCCATCCTAAAGCATGAAACACCCTCTAGTTTGCTTGAAAGAAACTGGAATTGTTTCTATACACGGGAGATAAGAAACACTCGTCATTTGCCCCAAAATGTAGGCACAAACAACATCTAACTCATAAGTACAAGACTTTTACTTTCGAATATATATGTAAGCGAAAAAATTTCTCTTAAACATGGTTCAAACATGCAACAAGCAAATGTTTGTAATTACCGTCGTTATGATTGAATGCAAATATATATATATATATTTATATAAAATTTGTATATTTTTTCAACATCGAAGTTGAAACAATTACTTAGGTAAACGGTAGGGCGTATGACTGACGTGAAAGTAATTTGAAGATATTCGTTATACTTATCAGCTTCCAAAGGAAATTAAGTTTATCAAAGACTTGTCACCCACAAATTTATCTTTTCCTTGCATTTATTTTCCTTGTCCTCGTTACAGCTTCGAAACTTTTCTTAGGACGTTAGCCTTAATATAAAAGAGTTTCGTTTCACAT